CCTGGGAACCTGAGTAGTCGGAAGGCACTGAGTGTTCCCAGTGGACTTATGCCTCCTGCACATCCCAGCAGGGCCCTGTTGAAGCTTCCAACTTGGAACTGCCAACAAACACAAAAAAGCTCTAAGACAAGGCTGTTCATTTCCCCTAGCCCAAACATTTTGGCAACATCTGCCCTTCTCTAGTTAAACACCTGCAGAAAGTCTCCTCCTTCCCCTCCAGGTTTCAGTAGGGCTGTGCAGAAGGCTGATTTTCCCCCACTCCTGAAAGCAGGCGGCAGCACTGACTCCTTCACAGGGTGGTGATGGCTGGCAAATGGTGATATTCTTCTTCCTGCCTGCAGAAACGGGTACTGTTCTGATTCTCTGTTGGAATAACGTGAGCAAAGTTTAGCAATGAGATATGCCTATGCCAGGAAGAGTGTTCAGATTCAGGGCTCGTCAAGCTGTACTTGAGATCCCCTTGAATTCTGTCCCCTTCCCCTACCCAGTGTCAATGGGGCCCAACAGATAGCTGAGACTCCACTCCCAGAGTCAACAAGACTAAGCAAGGACATGTGACTCAAGTCTTGTCACCCTCTACTTACCTCCCCTACCCCTTGAGTAAGCGGGGCCAGGTGTGTATGTATATATTACACCAGCGTCAATGAGGTAAGATGAGGGCTAGGAGCCACGGCCAGCTGACACTTTGCATACCTACATTCCATTACCCAGTACCAGGAAGCCCAGCAGAGAGCTGAGAGCTGAACTTCTCCCCACCCACCTGCAGTAAATAGTGTGAATCAGCTGTCTGCCTCTCACCTCTCTGGTGGCACCTCCTCTCAGAGGTACTGAGGTGGTATGAGGGGTGCCTTCATGATTTTTCTCACGCATTGTTTTTTCAATAGGTACTTTATTATATCCTTATAAAAGAATGGAGCAACCCTGATTCTCAGTGTATCAGATAAGAAAGGCAAAGTTGCAATCATTCACATTATTGTCAATCATCCCATGTGTAAAAGACAGTGGCAGGTCACCCATCTGTGAAATGGTGAGTAGAGAAAAATCTATAGAGCTTGCTTTTGGGGAGTCTATAGAGCTTACTTCTCTTAGGCTAGTTTCCCCCAGACTTTTGAAATCCAAAGTGGACAGTGTCTATCATTAGCAGATAATACAGGGTCTTTGTAGAAAAGCCTTCTAATGGGACTGGGAGTGTAGTTCAGCGGCAGAGTACATGCACGTGTGTGAGGCTTTGGTTGTACTCTCCAGCAGCCCCCCTACAAAAAGACCTTTTTATTGATCATTATCTTTTAGGGGGTCTGAATCTTGACCTGACTTTTAAGAATATTCTATCAATCAATTTGAACGCAAGGCAGGAGAAAGGAGGCACATGTGATTGATGGCCAAAATTATTCTGCACCACCTAGACAAGCCTAGCTCCCAGGTGGAGGGGCCCATGCAGATGTGCAGGGTGCCATAGTATAAAGCCACCTTCCTGCTAGTTTCTGCACCCATTCATGTGACTGTGGCTTTGTTAATCAAAAATAATGACTGGTGGCCTCAAGAATCATTTTTAGTTTGCAATTTTTAAGTGACACATATTAATCATAGATATTTATGGTATACAGTATACTATTTTGATATATGTACACAATGTGTAATGATCACAAATAAATTATCCTTGAGGCCAAAAAGATCAAGCAGCATGGTTTTTTCAGTCAAAAGATGTTAAATTAATAGATGTCTTCAATAGACCAGAAAGTCACTGACTAGTTTAAATCTTAAGTCAAACACTTCATGAAACCATTATGTGCCTCTGTGTTTCTGCTCTCTTACACCCCAGTCTTATTCTCCACGTGCTTGCTCTCATTCATGAACAGACATTGACAAATAAGAAGCAGAACAAAGAAGCTAGTGAAACTATTGCTTGCTCTTTCCCCTCCTGAAGGAGTTCTGTTACCCAGTGGGTTCTAAGAGCTTTCTGAGTGATCCTGTGGCACTATGCAAACCACCTACGTGCACCGTAAATCTATAAGCAGCCTGTAAAGTCAGCACCACGTATCTACTTCATCTGTGCCTGCTTCTCTCCCTTCCCTCATTATTGCTATTCTAGGGCTTCTTACTGCCACCTCCCCAGCACCAACAAAATGTTAGCATGCATACCTGCCGCAGGCACTGTTTCCTAGGAAATGTGGACTAAACCAGTAATTTATTTTTAAAAACTCATTATGGAAAAATGTCATACATATACAAACACAGAAACAAAAGTACAAAGACTCTATCATCATCTGAGTTTGTTAAGATCGTTTCCTAATAATTTTTCTTTACATGAGAGATTACTAAATGGGAGATTGTGGTTTTTCCAGTTCTATGATTTCTTTCATATCAAACAAATTTCCCCATGACAACAATTCAGTTTCCACAAATACAGTTCATTATGGAAGATAATAAAAGTTCTAATTCTTTTAATTAACAATTTTAGAAGAAAGAGTTTGTGCCAGGTACTTGCAATAGTGTCTGCATTAATCAACTTTTTCATTGCCGGGACAAAGTGCCCAACTTACACAGTTTAAAGGAGGAAACAGTTTACTGACTGCTGGTTTCAGAGATTTCAGTCCATGGTTGGCTGGTTCCATTGTTGTGGGTCCAAGGCGAGGCAGAACATCACGGCAGAAAGATGCTGTAGAGCAAAGCTATTCCCTTCATGGCAAGAAGGAAGCAGATTATAGGGCGAGAGCGCCTGCAAGAGATGTGCCTTCCCAAGTCACGGCCCCACGACACCTTCTCCAGCTGGCTGCTCCTCCTTACAGCACTTTCAGCAATGCACATCAGTGCAATCCACCCTAATGCGACACCTTCAGGATCCAGTCAGGGCTCCAGCAATCTCTCAGTCCTGTGAAATTGACATTTCAGATCAACTGACATACTGTGCAGTGAACTTCTCCTTTCTTTCCTCCGTCCATCCCTCTATCCTTCCCGCTCCACTTCCTCCCTCCCTCTCTTGTGCTTGTGTCTCCTTTTTTCTCCAGGACTGAGGATTGAACCTTCACACTGAGCTAGGTCTTCGGCCCACCTCCTTATTTTATGAGCCTGAAAAGCTCTTACTAACTTGCCCAAACTTGGCTCCAACCTCTGTCTCAGCCTCCCAGAGTGCCTGCCGTCTCTCTTCCCTCCCTTCTTTCCTTCCTTTTCTTTCTTTTTTTCTGTCTTCTTTCTGCCTCTCCTGTTTAGCACATCTTTCAGAAGTCATGCCTTTTGAGGCAACCCATTTTTGGGTGCCCTCTTGCCTCTCAGGAGCTATTTCTATTCCCCATTCTTACTTTCCAATGAAATTTCCTACTCTTTTTTTAAAAAAGTCATGCATTTTTATATGTTCATTTTCAAACAACTGCATGCATTAAAAAAAAAAAAAATGCCCGAATCACCCCTCCTTTGGTCCAAGGACACTGTCTTTATTTGTTGTGAACAGATTCCTTGTTTTGTGGCACAAGCTATTCCAAGATCGTTTTGTATATTTCTTACCCCAGACAAGCCCTGGTTTCTCTTAGCTTGAAATTAGTATTTTTGTTTGTTTGTTTGTTTGTTTTGGGTACCGGGGATTGAACTTGGGCCCTTGCGCTTGCAAGGCAGTCCGCTGAACAGCTGAGCTAAATTCCCAAATCCCCGGCCTCTGAAGTTAGTATTTTAAAACCCCAAACAAGATGACTTGCATATTTTCTTTGTCGTAAAGTAAGAGCCTATTAACCTAAAATTCTTTTCCAATGCAGTAATTTTATTTAGGTGATAAAACTGTAATTGCTTGTTTTATTTTTAAGTTTACTTTAACATTATTTAAATTCTTTGATGATGGTGCGTCATTCATTTTAAGGACACCTGAAATTGGGTAAATAACTACACATTAATATTTCATTATTCCAGATGGCACAATTCATATTCAAAATTTCCTCAAATTTTTAAAACGAGGAATATAAATGAAATCTCAAATGCTTTCAATTTAATTCAAGTAAGTATATCAGTTTCCTCAGAGTTGCTATAGTAAAAGAGTTGCTTTAGTAAAAACGTTGAGAACTTTGAAAAACTTTTAGAAATGCGATTGGTATGAGGCGTCAAATCTGAGCTTTAAATTGGACTAAGTGAAGGGATGTAAGTTCCGGTGACCAGACTCCTGTGTGGAAATGCATGACATTCAAACACATGAAATGCAAAATGCTGCTTGGCATTTAGTTTCCTAGATTTGCAGCTCTGTGCACTGGGCGCCACCAGCGCGGCGCTGAGTTTAGAGCAAGCGTGGCTTCTGATCCCGTGGAAATCCACGCCCCGTTTTTCGTCCAACCCAGTCCACGCCCCAGGGGCGGAGCTTCACGTGGCTGCCGCGCGCTGGGGGCGGGACGAGGGCGGGGCT